AAATGTACTTGTTCATTAATACTGAGGGGAGGATAGTCCAAGATCATATAAGGAGATCGAACAATCATCCACAACCAATGTGGGAGAATAAACATCCATGCATCTCAGAACTATACCTCTGAAGCGTGGACAATATAACATAGAGCAGTCAGGATGGACCTGACTTTAATACTTATGGTTTAGAAAATGTATCTTGGGTCCAAGTATGTATATGAAAATCCTTACGTATTTATATATGATTAAAATTATTTAATCAAAATCTTTTTAAAAGATAAATATTTACTAGTTGCAAATTTTACGGGTGACTTATTATGGCATAAAAACCTCTATCATGGATGAAATGCTTAAAGTCATAGAAGAGTTTTTCAACTTGCCATAGGAAGAGAAAATGAGATATGATTAAGAAAATGTAAGATATGGAACAAGCTTGAACACAACCAAAAGCATAACCTCCATTGGAGGGACTTTCTCAGGCACTATCACAAAGGTACCACCTTTGGCCAGATAATTCTCCTACCTACAAGTAAATTAACTATCATCATGCTGAATCATAGTATTTGATATCAGATAGATACGATGAAATTAATTTCAGATACATGAAATTGATATTGTTTACGCAAACACACGAAATTAATATTGCATACACAATAATGTCATATAATAATTACCACCTGAGCAACTCCTCTTATGTTAGCGGAAACGTGTAATTAAAGAACAAGGAAGAACAATAATATTTAACGTGATTCGGATCAAAATGATCCTACGTCCACTAAAGAACAACTGCACTAATATTTATTTCATTCTACAAAGAATACAAGTGAAATATTACATTGAGAGAGAACACAAATGCCTTAAAAGGTGAGAAGGCAAGTGAGAGGATGATATGAAAATGAATTAAGAGCTACATATTTATAGGAATAAATTCATCCTATTGATGTCATCCATGACATCACTATATGTCAAAAATGTCAAGGTAAATCAGCCTGCAAGCCCACTTATATATTTAGACAAATTGAGTGAATTATATCTCAGGTATTGAGCAATGGGAAATACAAGAGCGTAGAGCATCGAGCAATAGTTAATGTGGAGGAGGCTCGGATATCTATAGCAGTTGGTCACGGCCCAAAAATGGACGCAATAGTTCAGCCTGAAATCCCACTTATCAAAGAAAAGAGCGAAAGCAAGTATTGACCCATTGTTTACAAAGACTATATTAGAGCCCAACAAAGCACTACTAAGAGAGGGAAGAGGGCCCTGCATGAGACTATGAACAACAATATATAGATCATTAATTTTGATGATACGTCAATCCTTGTAGAGAGATAATGTCAATCCTTGTAGGGAGATAATGTCGTTAAAGACTTTACCACTTTTTGTTAATGTGAATATTTATAAACCTTAAAAGTTGTTTTTGTTGTAGTGATTGAGAAGGCTAAGCTTGTGTTTTAGCTTCTTGGTTTGCCAAAGTACAACCTCCACTTGATGCTACTATCATCTTGTGTAAGCAGTGTTTAACTTTATGATTATTTCATCTAGAAGTCTAAGTTATCAGTATTAACATTTGTATGCTCTTCCGATTGATGAGATTCAATCAAATTGAACTAAGAATTCAGTAATTTCAGGAAATAAGAGGTTATTTATTGATGCTAATTTCGAACACTGAAATTATAATGTAAAGAAAATGATTGAAATATCAAATTGAAAGGGCTCAGGTATACTTGTTGGCAATGTTGAGAAGAGTAGTATAAAGCTGTTGGGGCTTAGACGTCATGGTCGCATGGTCAGACCCCTCGATTACTTCTATTTCATTTGGTGGATTCTTTTCAATCATCGTTTGGAAAAATTCCTTCTTCACAACTTCATTTTTAGCAGCAAAGATGAACACTCTCTTAACTGATCCATATTTTTTGCTTGAAAGTACTATCTCTTTAGAAACATCTTCCGCACTGTATAAATAAAATGGCCTTACTAGTGTAGTAGCCAGCGCCAAATCCTAGGGAAAACTCCAATTTAAATCAGTTCCAAATTTTGTTATTAATTTCAGTAACAGTACTATTATGATTTGCTTACCTCAATTGGGCTCAGATGGTAAGCATTAGTTTCCAAGAACTTGGGACCTAGGTTGAAGGTCGTTGGAGGATTCTCAGATCCGTTGTGGTATGTAACCCGATTATCAAGTTCACGTATTATTGCATTGATTGCCTATAGTAAAGTATATCTACAAATTTAATTTCAAATATGTAAACAAATATGGAAAATCGATGTTTACCTCAGTATAGACGATTGATGCACTAATATTTGGACCAGGCATTACACCACTAAGAAATACAGCAACAGAAATCTTTTCAGGGAAGGTTTCCATGGCTTTAGAAATGGCGAGTCCACCAACGCTATGGCCAACAAGAACTATTTTTTCATCAACAGGAAGTGAAGTCATGAACTCCATTAGCGGACTCAAGTAATCAGAAAATTTTGGAATTTCGAGGGCCTGTTTCGGGTTGATTCCTGAACCACCCAAGTCTAGAGCTGTGACATTATGTCCTGAACATCTTATGAGTGCTACAATTTTGTACCAGGACCAGGCTCCATGGCCTAGCGTATGAACAAGCACAAAGTGTTTCTTAACTTTAGACGCGCTTTTCTCCATATCAACTATGTAAAATGCTTCCTTAGAACTGAACAAGTCTTCTCTACAAAAGTAACATGTACAACAAAATATAATTACCACAAGACAGGAAAACAAACTATTTGGCTGATGAGTAAATTCTTTGAGAATTCTTCTCTTCCTTTTTATAGTAGCAAATACTGAATTTTTTGTAGTGGAAAAGGAAAACATTTGTGAGAATACGTGTGCTAATTTTATCGAATTACTCTATTGTATTGTATTGTATGGTAGATACAATGTTTGACTAGACTGTATAGATTGTTTTTGTTTAATAACATTTTAATTGTTTGATTTGATCGTATCATACTGTATTGCAATTTATAAATTTACTAAAATATTCTTAATTATTCTAGGGTAGGAGGTTTGATTAGATTTAAATAATTAAGATAAAGGGTAAAGTAGTATTTTGAAATATTATGTAAATATATAATTGGAAAAAAAAGTTAAGTAACAATGGGAACACACCAAATTGGGTGTTTCATAAAATAGGGATTTTCATTGTTACGTAACAATGAAATTTAACAATACAATACAATACAATTTAAGGAACAATCAAAACAAACGTTATAAATATAATAACGATACAATACAATATAATGGATAACAATGATCCAAAGTATGAGTGTTTTTGAATGTTGCATTGTGTTGCATTTTCATCGACGATGATGACCACATGATGCCTATTATTGTGGGGTATAAAGTGGTCTTTTATTTTCCTTACAACTCCTATGGCCTCCCATTTTTCATTTCATGTATTTTTTTACCTTATTATATTTTGTAATTTATGTAACATTTAAGTCATTTATCTAATTTACCTATATAAATAGTGTGGTCTTAATCTTTATTAGATACGAGAAAAAGTGTGTAAGAAAAGATGAGAAGTGTTATATTGTGGATAAACTACTAAAGTCACATAAGAGCTATTATTATACGTGTACGTGAAGCCCCACGCTCAAAATTGAAATGATTACGTATCAAAATGTCTTTATATTGATTATAAAGTTTTTTTTAAACTAAGAAATTTTTATTAAAGAGTACAAGTAAGGGAGGCTAGACCACCGATCCTATTGCAATAATAAAACTCTATTACTTAACAAGCATGAAGAAAAAAAGAGCTAGCGAAAACTAGGTATTTGATGATCATAATAGAGTTTATAGTATTTTCTATAATGATATTACAAATGAAGATACTTTTAAGTCATGCAAGAATCTAAAAGTAAAGAATAAGATTGAGTTATTAGCCTCAAACTTCAATTTATACATGTATGAACTAAAAAACACTTGATAGTTCATCAATTCTTCTTGGATTTATTGGATCTTGTTAAAGTTGTTGACACTGTCATATTCTTCTATGTTAGTCGCATTGGTAGGTGTCTTGGAACAAATTTTTGAGTCACCTTACCATCCCAACTGTGTTGCCTTCCATGTACTTTTTTTTTAAAAAAATTGTTGCTTCCACTTCTTTGTTGTCTTGATGAGATATCCCCTTCCTTCGCCACCCAAACAAAGCATATGCTCAACATCTCTTCCTCGTCATACCCATCGGACATGTTTGTTCCCAAGTCAAGATCATAACTTGCAGTTGGACTAATTCCTGAAACTATAACTTTTGGATCATGACTCTCAACCAATACTCCAATATATTTGGTTTTTATGGTCAAACTCTTTTTAAAGCTATCAACGGTCGTTGTCATAGATATTTGCCTTACTTGTAGGAACAAATTCGAGTGCTTGAGGGCTTAACTTCTTGTAGGAACAAATTCGAGTGCTTGAGGGCTTAACTTACTCATAGGAGGTGAAATAAAGTTTACCTCTTCCTCGACTAAATCTGCCCATTTAGAAGCACTCGTTTCCTTTCGTTTTTCTTTAGAAACATTCAAACCATTTTTAGCTTTCTCTGAATTCGATACAACCATGATAGGTGTATTTGAACTGATTTCTTTACCAGTTATCCCCTCAGTAGAAATGAACTCATTTTCATGTGTCAAAACAACTTTTTGATCAACATGCTCTCTATTCTTGTTCAATTCTTGAGAAACAAGACTCAAATTGTTAATGTCTTTGTCAAACTAGGCAAAATTTTGTGTATGTTAAAGTACACTTGTGACAGGTTGGGATTGCCTAAAGTACTTCCAAATTTAGTAGATAAAAATTGTAGCTTCTTCAAAACTATTTACAACAGCTCGATCAATAGTAGCATCCCTGACAACCCCCAAATTATTTCCAGAATCTCTTCCTTCACTAGAATTATCATCAGAGACCAACTGTTGTTCTTCTTCTTTATTGGTTTTGCTTTGAAATTTAGCATTTATAATCTCCCTTTCATCACCTTGATATTGTTTTCACATTCGTACGTTTATCTGTTGCATCATTTTGATTTTTAGCACCGACTTTGTTGAGAAACACACGACAACTATTTTCATCATGCCCTTGTTGTTTATAGTGCATACAATGGGAGATTATCATAAACAAACTCTTGATAATGCTGAATAACTTTGCCCTGAATCTTTGTCCACGAAGAATAACTTTATTTTTTTGGATGCTTATCTAGTAGATCTAGAAGTACTTGGCCTGGTACGTACCTGAGTGGCTTTATCTACAACAACTGATTTTCCAACGTCTGAAGCAATTGATAAAAGTGATTTTTTTTGCAAATAAACTTGGTGGCTGATCTGGAAAAGATATCCATGTCAATGATTTCGATATTCTTCCTAAGGATTGAACCATATAGTCCAAAGAGACGTTCTAAATAGAAACTCTTCACCATTGAATTTGATGCAAGACAAAACTTGAGTCTTCATATAAATCAAACATGATCAATTTATGACAAAACTCAAGTTGTCCAATGTTACAATGACCTTAAATATCGAATTACTCTGAAAAAACCTTGCGCAATTTATGTAAATCTAGTTTTCCGAAAGAAAATTTGAGAATAACGGCTTGATGTAGTCCTTCCTCTATGTAAATTCATTAACTTCATCCATGTGAATTCGATGGTTGGCTCTCCATGAATGAATTTAATTGGTTTCAACTCAGTTTTGGATATAGGCCTAGTAGAAGAATTGGCTTGAAGTTGTGCACCATATGTTGGTTTATGTGTTGATCGAATCAATAGTATTTTGGATATGTTGTGGTGGTGTTTTGTCCCCAGTATGAAGCTGGGACACAACTAGAACAACCAATATTTTATCATCCAGTTGAGCCCTATTTTCTCAGAGTTGAGTTGAACTATGTTTCTTTAGTTGAGTTGGGTTGTAAGTTGAGTGAGTTAAGAAGAGTTAAGTATGTTTCTTTTCCATTACTTCAAGCTTATGTTTATACATCAGAATCTCTCCTTACATGCTCTTACGTTCCATGTATCTTGTCATTTGGCCAGCGTCGTTTCATGATACAAATAAAGGTATTTAGGATCATCAGCAGGTATTTCGTTGAGGTCATAGGATATTCTAGTGGGCTTTGGTGAGCTTTCTTACATTGGGGAAAACTTCATCTTTATCTTACAGTTAGTAATTTTGAGATGTCGTGGGTCTTGTCCCGATATCCTTATATAATAGTAGAGGCTTCATACATATACAAAATTGAGTATCAAAATGTATCTTCCTTTTGAATTGTTTTTACAAAATCTGAGTTATCTATTGAGTATTGTTCAGATTATTTTAAAGTTGAGATTACTAAATTTAGTTTAGTCTTTAAGCTTTTGTATGTTTGAGTCAGTCTTCCACTTGTAGTCAACCCGGATGAAGGTTTGCTTGAGGACCAATAATAATTCTCGAGTGCCGGCCACGTTCAAGGTGTAGATTCGGATTGTAACAAATAGTATTCAAGGGAAAAGTTTTCATCTAAACCCATAAAAAAGAAATGACTCTAATGGAACAGTTAAATGCCACTCTAGCTTTTTTAATTTGTTTTTCAATTTGTATTTGGTCCCTAACATAAACATTATATGTTATTGTAAGAAAGTCGTACACCTAAAGAGGAAGGCATAACAGACAATCAGGGATCATGACAAATTCCAACTGAACAAATTAACATATTTTCAAATTACTGTCATATAAGCTCATTTGGCCTCAAAAGAAAATATGTGTGCGCGCGCACGTGCGTGCGTGCGTGTGTATGTGTTGTGCGTGTGTGTGGTGAAAAGGTTAATTGTAGTATAGGCATTGGATGAGTTTGGATGCTTAAATTTAGGGTGAAAAAGCACAATTTATATGTTTCAAGTTAGCCAATATCTTTGGAAAATATCCACCCCTAATTATTGTTATAGCCCTCAATAAATTACCTGTTTTCCCACTCTACATAAGTTATTTTTATAGCCCTCAATTAATTAAATCTAAGTCATTAATATCAATATTAGACACGTGACAGTTGCCACTCATTCAAGAAATAATTTGGGGAAATAAAGATGATAAGGTAAAATAAAGATAAATATGGATAAAATGTAAATAGTACAACTTAAACAACATATTGTACAATTATGTATTGCAGTGTTAGTCTTTTTTGTTGTTGGCTTATATAACCTAATTTTGAATTGCAGTTGTAGTCAATTTCTTTGTAAAATAGTCACCATTGATTATTGTTATAGCCCTCAATTAATTGTTTATTTCTCCACTCTACATGAATTATTATTATAGCCCTCAATTAATTGTTTATTTCTCCACTCTACATGAATTATTATTATAGCCCTCAGTAAATTAAACCTAAGTCATTGATATCAATATTAGACATGTGATCGTTGACAATCATTCAAGAAATAATTTAGGAAAATACAGATGATAGTTAAATCATTTTCCTATAAATATGCTTCCCCTAACACTATAAGAATTGATTCATGAATTTTGATAACGTAAAATAAAGATAAATGTGGATTAATATAAATAGTACTTCTCACGTAATTAACATATTGTACAATTAAGTAGAGCAGTGTTAGTCCTTTTTGTTGTTGGCTTATGTATAGCCTAATTTTGTATTGCAATTGTAGCCAATTTGAAAATAGCCACCATTGATTATTGTTATAGCCCTCAATTAATTTTCTATTTCACTCTACATAAATTATTTTTATAGCTCTTAATTAATTAAACCTAAGTCATTGATATCAATATTAGACCTGTGACGGTTGACATCATTCAAGAAATATGGTACTCCCAAAAACTTTCTAAGTTAAGATCTGAACATTTTTTATTTATGTATACGATTATGTCGGGTGATTCTTGAATTATAATTAGGTGTTAAGGTCAATTTTTAGCGTGAGAATAGATTTAGAGGTGAATTAAGGTCAGTAGAATCCCCTAGCACAAAATTGAGTTGAAAGTTTTATTACCGATTAATTTTGAACGTAAGATTATACATAGGTCAACTTAAAATGACCATATCTCTTAGAATATAAAGATTTACGTGGACCTTAACCTATAAAATTGGAAGTATTTAATCCTTCTTTCCAACGCAACCAATTTCAAAATAATTTGAGTTTCTAGTAAAAAATTATGACGATTTTAGTAGTTTGATACAGTGTAATGAGACGAATAGTCGATGGATAAAGACTTCAACACTGCTTGTAGAAAGATAATATCGATAAAGACTTCAACACTGTTTGTAGAAAGATAATATCGATAAAGACTTCAACACTGTTTGTTAATGTGCATATTTATAAACCTTAAAAAGTTGTTTTGTTGTGGTGATTGAGAAGGTTATGCTTGTGTTTTAGCTTCTTGGTTTGCCAAAGTACAACCTACCACATGCATTTCACATGATGCTACTATGTCTTGTGTAAGCAATGTTATATTTTGTGATCATTTTATCTAAAAGCTTAAGTTATCAACATTAACATATGTATCCTCTTCCCATTGATGAGATTTAATCAAATTGAACTAAAGAATTCAGTAATTTCAGCAAATAAAGTTTATTTATTGATGCTAATTCCGAACACTGAAATTACAATGTAAAGGAAATAATTGAAACATCAAATTGGAAGGTCTCAGGTATACTTGTTGGCAATGCTGAGAAGAGTATCATAAAGCTGTTGGGGCTTAGACATCATGGTCGCGTGGTCAGACCCCTCGATCACTTCTATTTCATCTGGTGGATTCTTTTCAATCATCATTTGGAAAAATTCCTTCTTCAGAGCTTCATTTTCAGCAGCAACAATGAATACTCGCTTAACTAATCCATATTTTTTGCTTGAAACTACTATCTCCTTAGAAACATCTTCCGCACTGTATAAATAAAATGGCCTTACTAATGTAGTGGCCAGCACCAAATCCTAGGGAAAAACCCCAATTTAAATCAGTTCCAAATTTTGTTATTAATTTCAGTAACAGTACTATTATGATTTGCTTACCTCAATTGGGCTCAGATGGTAAGCATTAGTTTCCAAGAACTTGGGACCTAGGATGAGAGTCGTTGGAGGATTCTCAGGTCCGTTGTGGTATGTAACCCGATTATCAAGCTCACGTATTATTGCATTGATTGTCTATGATGAAGTATCTTATAAATTTAGTTTCAAATATGCAAAAAATGTAAACAAATATGGAAAATCGATGTTTACCTGAGTGTAGACGATTGATGCATTGATATTTGGACCAGGCATTACACCACTAAGAAATACAGCAACAGAAATCTTTTCAGGATAGGTTTCCATGGCTTTAGAGATGGCGAGTCCACCAAGGCTATGGCCTACAAGAACTATTTTTTCATCAGTAGAAAGTGAAGTCATGAACTCCATTAGCGGACTCAAGTAATCAGAAAAATTTGGGATTTCGAGAGCCTGTTTCGCATTGATTCCTGAACCACCCAAGTCTAGAGCTGTGACATTATGTCCTGAACATCTCATCAATGCAACAATCTTGTACCAGGACCAGGCTCCATGGCCTAGGGTATGAACAAGGACAAAGTGCTTCTTAGCTTTAGACTCAATAATTTTGTCCATTTTTATATTTGTTGGTGGCAATATGAGTATATATAATAACAACAATTATATAATTATCATATATTCATACCTAAGTATGAGCAATGCTTGAATTGTGCTAGACACCATTTTAAGAAACTATTTCAGAATTTTTCCTCTATTAAACCAACAAAACACGAAGACAAACTATTTGACTGCTGATTTGGTCTTGTATTCTCTGACAATTCTTCCTTTTATAGTAGCAAATACTTAATTTGATGAAGTAGAAAAAGGAAAATATTTGTGAGAATACAATTGCTAACAACTTTATCTTTGTGAAATCACGTGCAAACTTTATCTTGAGCCAGGGATATGAGTATTTTAATGTAATTACTTTTTATTAAAGTAACTTATCCTAAAGTATTTTTTGATGTTGCATTTTGCACTGACATAATTGGTGACATGTAATGCACCAATGCCTATTATTGTAAGGCATAAGGTGGTCTTTTATTTCCCTTACAACTCATATAACCTCCAACTTTTCATTTTATTTCATTATATCTTTTAATTCAATTTAGATACATTTAAGTCTAATTCTTTTGTCCAATTTTATTTTTATATTCACAGCAAAAAGGAATTACTCACTTACATAAATAGTGTGGTCTTATTCTATATTGAATGTGTGTCCGTGAAGCTCCAAGCTCAAAATTGAAACGATGATATATCAAAATGTAAAAAAGTTGACAAGTTGCAAAAATTATTTCATTATAAGACCGTTCTACCATGTGATTCCATATCTATTACATTAAGTATGTAGGTGAACCGAGTAATTTAGAAGTGAAGCAATACAATATTACTTTAATGCTCTCAGTTCAAAAATTTTGTGATACATAAAATTATTTTTTAGTAAATGAAGAGATTATAGTTACATTCTCATCATTATGTTGAACTAGATAACTTAACCGTGCGGTATATTAGTAGGATTTGAAAATAATCTTCTATAAATTAAGTTCGAAATAAATGAAAGAATTTATTTTGCTTTAGACATGCAACATTTTCACATATCAATATATGATACCAAAAAATAAAATGAAGCATTAAAATAAATTAAAACACCATAGTCAACATATTAATATATGATACCAAAAAATATAATGAAGCATTAAAATAAATTAAAACACCATAGCCAATTGATTGGGGTGAGGATTCTCTTTATGAAGATGAGGAAGACAATATGTTAGATATATGCTTTGACAAAGTGGCTAGAGAAGGAGATATATCACCTAGGCAATAAAGAAGTAGAAGCAACAAAAAAAAGGCACATAGAAGGCAACATAGTTGGAATGGTAAAATTTTGTTCCAAGGCACCTACAGATGCGATGGGCAAAGCAGAACCATCTGACAGTATCAATAGGTTCAAGAAGATTCAACAAAATCCATAAAGAAAGTATGAATTATCAAGTCTTGTTGGATAGATTTGAAGAAGAAGACAAAAGAAAAATACTTCAAGTTACTTTTAATGATCAATTAATCTTTTTTAATTTATGTGCTTTTGAAATAGAAAATTTGAGGCTGATAACTCAACTTTCTTCTGGATTGACATATTTTTATATTATTTAAGCATCCTCATTTGTAATATCATCATGGAATGTATTACAAACTCCGTGGTGATCTGAAAATATTTAGTTCTCTCTATCTATTATTTTCTTCATGCTTGTTAGGTAGCAGAAATTAAGTATTTCATTAGATTTAGTAAGGTTAGGCCTAATCCTCCTTGCCTCTACTTATTCCATTGATATTCTTTTATGTTTAATAAAATGCCGCTAGACACTGTCTAGTGATAAATTTATTTTTAAAAAAAAAGCAAAAACACCATTGAAAATAATCAGAAGAAAAGATATTGACTTTTTTTTTCTCAGGATATGGTATGCATTAAAATTTGATTAAGATTAATTATTGGAAGTGATGAGTTTAATTAAATAGTGCAATCATTCTTACTCGTGGACAATATCAACTAATCTCCATTTTATTCTAATTAATAACTTTTGAAAACAAAAGAACTTAAATTAAGATGCAATATTGTTAATTTCATTTTCTTGACATGTAGTTAATTTAAAATTATCAATTTTAGAATAAAATAGGAGATAGATGATATAGTTGAACACGGTTACCTTCTTTATATTTTTGACATATGAATAATAATCTCATTATTATCTAAACTTATATCAATTTATATAGATGAATGATAGCATGAAACACATTATCTCATTGAATCAGAAAAAATATGTATTTTTTTTAAAATATTCTTTATCTTATTTGGAAAAAAAATATATTATAATGAAAATTCCAAGGACAACTTTCCAACTTGGTATTTTATTTTAAATTATTTTTTTTAATCGCACTTACCGCTTTTAAAAATGTATTTAATCAAGTACATTCAAGTATGCACATTAATATTCCAAAAACTACTTGCAATTAAGTATAACAAAACATATTATGGAGATTTGGGCCTTCTTTTTTATATGTATAATACTATAGTCATTTTGTCCTCCCTGGACAAATAAAGTAATTGTTCTCCTTCTTATCCAAATTGGATAATTTCTTTAAGGAAACGTAAGGAATCTGATCATTTAAGTTTTATATTGCTTTCGTGCATCACATGAGGGTGATTAATTTGCCAGTCTTCTATCAGTTATTATATCACTATAAGAAAACGGTAAATTATATAATATCTTTTTTATAGTGTATATGAAATTAAAAAGATATCCTACTTGATACTTCTTATATGTATAAAAAAGAAAAGGCTAAAAATACCCTTTACTTATTTAAAAAGATTTAAATATACGCCTTATTCATGTACTGAGTTAAAAATATCCTTCAGTCTACCTTTTGGGTTCATTTTTACCCTTAAAATTAACAGTCTTCTTTTAAATTATAAGTGAATATAGATACATGAGCGAGATAATGTTCTTTATGCGTTTTTTGTGATCTTAAGGAAGAACAAGCAAAAATAGTATATTTGATTCACAAATTTAAATTGAAAAATGTTAAACCTTATTTGGGATGTAAAAGTAGTTTTACAAAATGAGAGTTAAAAAAAATGACATGAACAGCCTTTTCTTTAATATCAATAGCATAAATAAGTCAAACTTTAACCGATACATAAATAACTCTTTTCTCAAAATTGTTTGAGCCTTTTCCCCTTTATTTATTACTCCTTTTATTTTAAAAAAGAATCACTCTATTTCCTTTTTAGTCCGTTTGAAAAAGAATAACCTCTTAAAAAGTCTTTTTTTTTCCTTAAATCATTTTAAATTAAACTAGATAAACCTTTTTGAAACGAAAGAAATACGGTTAATAAAGTGCTACTCATCATCCAATATAATACTCCTAAATCCTAATAATTAAAAGTAAAAATAGACATTGGAAGGAGAGAGAACAACGCGGCAGATATTATTACTATTGTTTAGATGCAAAAAAGCTACCTAAACCCACTTTATTTTCCTTTTTCGTCAGGGTACCAATATAGTAACGAAATCTCTTTTCAAATTTGGAATACAAAACTCAAAACTTTAACTTTTTGCACGTTAATGATCCACATATAAACCTTTTATTACATATCTATGCAAAAAGCATATTTGCCCTTAATCATTTTATTCTCCCCATACTTTTGTGTAGAATAATAATGAGGGAAAAGGGTCTGATATACCCTCAACTTTGTCATTTAGAATTGATATACCCTTCGTTATAAAAGTGGCTCATATATACCCCTATTTGTAAAATAAATGGCTCACATATACCCTTTTCCTCTAACGGAAATGAAAAAAATAGTAATTTTAATCTAAATTTTTATTCTTTTTTTTAAAAAAATATAATCCCATATGAGTAAATTTAATCCTTGTCAAACATATTTTTTTGACTTTTTTTTGTTTTAATGACTAATTTATAATTATTATTTTGATAATCAAATTTATTTATGTTTCACTAATATTCTAGTAAAACTTATTATAGTTGACCAAATTTTTTCTTCGAATACGAAATTAAATTACAATACATACAAAAAAAATAGTTTAAATTTTTTCTTTAAACTAAGGAATGAAAGAAAAAACAAAATAAGAATAAGAAACTCAAATAATTATAATAAAAGAAGTCAAAAAATAATTTATGTTTGAAAAAATTAAAATATACCTTGAACTTTGATAAAAGAATCATATATACCCCTAAATAATTTTTAAAAAAAATTAGAAGTAACAAATATAAATTTAAACTAATTTTTTAATTTCCATTAAATGAAGGGTATATGTGAGCCATTTTATAACGGCAGGGTATATGTGAGCCGTTTGTATAACGGTAAGGGCATATATGAGCCACTTTTATAACGAGGGGTATATCAGCTCTAAATGACAAAGTTGAGGGGTATAATATTAATAATAATAATAAATAGAAATTAGATCTTTTCTTTGAAAACTATTACAATGGCAAATTTACTTCAACTCAACCGGTGGAACCATCGTATGTTAATGAACATGTACAATCCAAATAGCAACAACATGCGGCAAAGCAAAATTCGGTCAAAAATAGCCTATAAGCAAACCCCAATCTCTTCCAACAGCCCAGTAATGGTTCTAAATAATTGTAATATTGATTACAAAAAAGGTGTGAAGTACCTAGTTGACAATTCAAAGAACATGAAAATGGTGCCTTTGGAGTTTGTTTTGCCAATTCCAGAAGGTGAAAGGCCATCGATGGCGATTGATGGTTCAATTCCAGTTATTGATATGAGTGGACTCAATGGACCTGTTGTTCAGCAAAGACTATCAACTATACATGCCATTAGTTCTGCTTGTGCTGAATGGGGATTCTTTAGGGTAACTATTAACTTTCTCAACTCTTTCTTCAATTATATTTTCAGTTTTAAGTTAAGTGTACTTGTGGATTGATAGTTTCACGCCATTAGATATAATTTATTAACTAGATATGGTCACTTAACCTTGTTTTTTAACTCAAAAGTTATTCAGCGAGAAGGGTGATTAGTAGGGGTGATCGTGGTTCTGTTTGGATCGGATATTGATTAAAATCAAAACCAAACCAATTTAGTCAGTTTTTTAAATTTCTAAAACCAAATCAAACCAAACGAAAAAAATTAACCATCGGTTTTGGTTATTGTCAGTTTGATTTGGTTTGGTTCAGTTTTTCTGGTTTATTCGGTTTGAAAGTAATAATTTTTTTGAGGACGTACATATCTCGATAGACACAAATACCAAGTACATGAACAATCTACAAAAAAACTAATGTCGGTTCAGTCAAGCAATCAAGCAATA